CTTGTCAAAACTAAAGCACAACCACAGCTATCTCATTAGTTCACTGTAAAATAAAATTTTGCTTACATGTTAAGTGAAAAGAGAGAATAAAGCATTTTCATGTTGTGTCTGCCTCCTTCCTAGGGAGGTGTTCCAGGCATGTCCCACCGGGAGGAGTCCCCGGGGAAGACCCAGGACACGCTGGAGGGACTATGTCTCTGGGCTGGCCTGAGAACGCCTCGACATTCCCCCGGAGGAGCTGGAGGAAGTGTCTGGAGAGAGGGAAGTCTGGGCATCTTTGCTTAGACTGCTGCCCCCGTGACCCGGTTCCGGATAAGCGGAGGAAAATGGATGGATGGATGGATGGAAATCACCACAGTCTGATTGGGGATAAAAAAGACTGGAATTATTTAAGTAACACTAAAACCTCACCGATGGTCCAGACAAGGGCAGCTTCCACAGGTGTGGTGGTCTCATCTATGTCACTGCCATAGAGACAAAGTCCCGCCTCAAGCCTCAAACTGTCTCTGGCGCCCAGGCCGGCCAGTTTCACCTCTCTGTTAGCCATCAGCTTCTCTGTCAGCTCCACCACTCTGGACTGAGGGACAGAGATCTGAGACACAGAGACAGGCAAACTGTAGAACTGAGTTTCCATCAAATGAAGCTTTACTGCCAGTTATGAAGTGGAAAAAAACAACTCATTTATATTTAAAGCAAAACACTACTTGTTGCAGGGAAAGTACTTTCTCAGGAATGATAGACTAGTATTAAACAGATAATGGAAACAAGTAATGACAAAGTGAATGGCAGTCCACAGATGTTGCTCAGTCTCAAAAAACCTACTGTATGTTTTTATTTATGTAAAGAAACAACTAATTAGCACAGCATTTTTGTGGAACTCTAAATGTACATGGGATAAAAACACTGCATGAATCAAGTGAGTCTTAGCATTGACAAAACATTAAATGGAAAGATGAGTGTCAGGGGTTTTCAACCAGTGGTCTGTGCCCCCTGGTGGTCCATACAGGCATTGCAGGTGCTCCCTGGCTATGCAATGTTTTTTTTTTAACATTTCCATGTACTCCCTATTGTTTGTGAATAATCTAATTCATACAAATATATAGCATTTAGAAAAGCCAAGGTTATTTTCAAGATTAAAATTGTGCCCATCTAGTTTATCCATCAAACAGTAGTGGTGCTCAGATTATTTCTTAGTCAGAATGGTGGTCCCTGAATCAGAATTAGTTGAAAAGCCTTGGTGTATGTGGAAAAAAAGGTCAGATAAGAGAAACACTCCCACCATTCCTCTGTTAGACAAAAAAACACCCACAACCACCCATATCTATCATGTTGTATACAGGGGCTCAGTATTTGAAAACCAATAAATCCATGTAGTAAATCAATCATTGGGCTCTTTGCAAACAGAGTATTTGGATTGTTTAACGGTGTTAAGAAGGGTCTTGTGAGGGACATATTTGTAGCTTTGAGAGGAACTGGCTCACTTATATGGTATACAGTGGGGTGTGGGGAGTACTTCACCCCACATAACCTCTGAGGTTGACATGTACCGTCCTGCTTTGCTTTTCCACTGTATTTTAGAGGAGGGAGCGGGAGCGCTACATAATTACATGCAGTCAGCTGAGCAGAGGGAGAACAAACATCACTCCATAGTGCAACAATCAGCCATTAATGGAGGCTATATGAGCAATCTATCAAACAGCTGTTGAACAAGTACAACACAGACCTGTGACATCTTCACGGCCTTGCCAGCGGTCCCCTCACGGAAGTCCCCATTTTACCGCTAAGCCAAGTGAAGTCCTTGTTTTACTTCTAAATCAGTATAATGCTGCGTTTCCTCCATTGGAACTTAACAAGCAGTATACCCCGTACTTCCCTTAACCATCACCAAGCACAGCCTTCGGGGCTGACGCAGACTTGATTTTATTACTACCTCCTGAGGGATGCTGAAATTAAACTCCCAGATGCACCTACATAGCAGGCGTACTGTAGTGGAAACAAACACAGAACCTGTGATGTCCATTACTTGGCTTGATGCATTTAGGTAGGTTCCTATAATGGAAAAACCCCTTTAGATGGACTGCCATGACATTTGGTACAGCCATTCATATTCCTTCAGTACGATTAATAATAACTTTGGTGGTCCCTCAACTTTTAATCTAGTGCCATCATTAAGTCAAAATCTTATTTTGGCACCAAATACCTGCAAACTAACTATATTCCAAGATGTGCAAAAGTAATGACAAACACACACAAGGTTGGTGTCCTGCTGTTAGAACTTAACTGTTGACTGGGGGGGTTGTGTTTTATCATTTTAACAAACACCTGCCACTCAGTCAGAAATAAGTAGTTTCTGTGGCTATGGTCAAGTTAGAAAAATATGGGATCAGAGGAATGGTTCTGAAATGGATTAAAAGTTATTTGACACAGAGGCGTCAATTTGTGAAGTTGGGTGAATACCAATCGAGTGAGCTGGATATTGTATGTGGAGTGCCTCAGGGTTCTGTTTTGGGACCTAAATTATTTATATTATACATTAACGATATATGCAAGGTTTCTGATTTAGTGAAAGTGGTTTTGTTTGCTGATGACACTACCATATGGGCATCGGGTGAAAACCTACAGCAACTCTCTGGACGGGTTTCACAGGAACTTGAGAAGATAAAGAAATGGTGTGACAGTAATATACTATCTCTGAATTTGGATAAAACTAAATTTATGGTATTTGGGAATCGTAGACTAGATAATGAACTTCAATTGAAAATTGGGGGAGCTAATATAGAACAAGTATATGAAATTAGGTAAAACTATGGAATAATTTAAGCGCGGACATAAAAAATAGTAATAGAATTGACAAGTTTAAACATAAATATAAAGGTATGTGTCAATCAAGATATA